TCACTCAAAATTGTGCATGTCAGAATTTTTAATAGATTCACTTTTAGACTTTAGCAAGAAACTTAATGCATAAAATGCTAACATTTTTTTAACATAATTTAAATTTCATTTAATGCATAATTTTATTTACATCATAAAAAAAATCATGATTTAATTTCACTGAAATCATAATTTAAAAACTAATATAATTTCTTATTTAATTTACATAATTAAAAAATACTGTATAATTTGTCAATTAAATTCATGTAATGCATAATTTAATTTATATTATTTATAAAAAATAAAAAATAATATAATTTATGATTTAAGTTCAATAAATGTATCATTAAATTTACACAATTTAAAAGCAAAACTAATATAATTTATAATTTCATTTTATTTTATTGAATATAAAAAAAAAACTAATATATTTTTACATTTAATTTAATCCATAATTCAATTTACATAATTAAACTAATTCATAACTTAGTTTACATAAAACTAAGATGAAAACTGAAAATATAAAAAAAATAATAACCAATTCAAAATCTGAATTAATATTATAATAGTATAAAAATAATACTAAAATTAAAAAAATCTAGATGCATTTTCTATGCAAATGTAGGGCTAGGTATCGAGTTCGATACTTTTTTGGTACCGATCAAATTGCCTCGATACAATCGAGTATCTTAAAATGTCTTGTCAGTACCTAAGGGGTTAATCTCATCAACGTCAGTGAGTCAATAAGCATGCAGCATGCTTGATTTACTTAAATCAAGTACTGGTGATTGGCTCTGGTGAGGCATCAAGGAAAAACACTAGTTTACGCTGGTTACACCCAGAGACTTGGCTCACATGTGAGGCTGTAGTGTGTAAGCGTCTCAACCCCCATAGAAGTAAGGCTACATTTACACTAGTGAATATTCGTTTTAAATTGGCATTTTAAAATTAAAACAATCCTCGTTCATACTGGCGTTTCCACTGCATTTCAGAAAAGTTCTCCATCCACACTACACGACCGAAAATGCAAGTTAACATGAGGTGCTAGTTCAAATTTAAAAAAATGCTTCTGCAAAAAAAGTTTCATCTGCAGATATGGTCTTGTTTAGGGATCTGTGCCTTTGTGCATACGGACATCTGACTGCTAAGTAGGGATATGCCGGTATCAAATTTTCATGTTGTGATTAATTGCTAATGCTTTTATTACGGTATACGGTATTATCATCACGATATTGAAATTAAGTAAAACAAAAGTGCTGTCATAATACAGTATAACAGGTTTAATAACTTTTTTCTTATAACAAAAATAACTGAACATTTAAATGCAATAAAGCAATACAGAAAAATGTATAAAGTTAAAAGTTTTACACAGATTAAAGTGCAAAAGAACTATAAAGACCAATCGGTATCCCTTTAGAATAAGACCTCATTAGTTAACCTTAGTTAATACATTAACATTCACAATGAGCAATAGCTACATTTACTACAGAAGTTATTAATCTTTGTTTAAAAAAACACAAGTCTTAGTTCATGTTAGCTCATTAAACAACACAGCTGCAACTCTCAATTTTAACATCCTGTTATTAAATATTGGAATACCTAAGATTAATGAAAGTTCAGAAGAATTTTTCATTGGCAGTTTATGTTAACTAATGAATTAACTAATGTTAACTAATGAAGCCCTAATGTAAAGTGTGACCGAACAATAAAGAATCAAAACACTTTCAAACAATAGCTAGGGCATGTTGTAGTCCAGATTAAAATGTAAAAAAAAGTTTGAAAATAAATAGCCTATTAAGTCTAAATATTTAAGTATTTGGCGCTGTGATGAACATCATAGCAAATACACAAATCTGAATGGCTGTTTAAATCATTTAAACACCTTTCAGAAACAGAAAGTAGTGCAGCTGCTTTGTTTACAGGGTTTCCGGGGTAACGGCTGCATTTAAATGAATTATTATTATTATTATTTCTGCAGTTTAGCGCCATCTGCTGTCAGAGAGTGAAAGTGCGCTTTCATCCAGAGCGTCTCTCACATGTTCCGCCATGTGCTTCTCGTCCGCGCTTGTTTACATCAGAGTGCGCACGCGTCTTTCACGCAGCATACAGCGGTGTTGTGCATTTTGACCAGTTGATGGGAAAAGTATTCTTAAAATGCATTCAAAATTCGGAATAATTTGTAATATATAATTATTCACGGTATTTAGAAGTGCCCACGATAACAATATCGTGCATATTCATTACCATGATATATCGCATTACCGAATAC